ATTGTCTGAGAGGTAGGGGGTTTTTGTCTTGTCTTTATTTTTGAAAGCAAAATCAGTTCAACTTTCAGGGGAATGATGTGGAGTCTGTGGGCTGTGCTGAGAGGAAATCTCTTGCAGGCAAGAGCAGGTTAGAGCTGGTGTGTGAGCAATAAAATCTCTGCGTGCTTGACATTGTATCATTGGTACTTTGGGAGAACCAGTTGAGCACTGAGCTGCCTTGAGATCCTTGGGGCATAGCGGAGAGAAAATGTGTACCACTCCAGCTGATACTGGGATCAGCTTCTACTGGGCAGTGGGAGGATTTCAGTTAGACTTGAAATACAGGGGTCCTTTCAGGCCAAGTCACAACCTCAGTGTCCTCTTCCTTTGTCTGGAATGGCTGTTGGTGTTTGCAAAGAGCTCCAGGTGTCTCGGAGAAATCACTGTCTCTTAAATGCATCATACTGCTGCTACTGCTGCTTGTACTTGTGGTGATGATATTTAGTCCTGTTTGTTTTTGGAGACTGGATCTGGTGGGTATTCTGTCTCTAGCAAAGTCCTGGCTGGCAGACCTGTATATAGCAGCGTCAGAGCTGAAAGGAGCTCCTGGGAAGGATATAGTTGAAATGGCCATCTATATTGTTCTTTGCCCTGCTGTGTTGAAAAGGGGAAAGTTTGGGGCCTTATAAGGAAAAAGGGGCTGATGAAACCTCAGCAGCACCAATGAAATGCACTTCTGTTCAGAGCTTCATGACTGGTTTGCTCGCTTGCTGAGGTGAATTAGTAGGGAAAAGTTGTTTGTGGGTCCTCTGAGTGATGTGCAGTTGGTGTTACTTATCTTCTGTTTGTAAAAGAGGCAACGTTAAGGTGAGAAGGAAGGGCTGTTCTTGGGGGACAGACAAGCAGAGAGAAAGTGAAGTGAAGAAGTATAGCTTCTTGTTGTTGTTGGCAGTTGCTTCTGCAGAAGAGACAGGCTGAGAAGACTGCCTTTACCACCGTTTCCAGACCAGCACAGCAGCCACCAGCTGTTTGTAGCTTTCCTTTTAGTGATGTTTCTGGTTTGAAGCTCTTGACAGCACTGAAAAAGATGACATTGTCTTGGCAGACTAAGCAGGGCTTTTTAAAACTCAGCTATGAGAGGATGAGGGACATCAAATGAGAAAGACGAATGATAGAGGAGAGGCAGCAAGAGCTGAAATTAGAGCCCTTGGGAGGCAGCGGTGAGATGAGAACTTGCAGCGCACCTTTGGGGCCCTGATTTTCAGAGTCAGGCCGTCGGTATATTGGCTCCAGAGGAGAATTCAGGTTTAAGTCTGGATAGCAAAGCAGGCTCCTTCAGATCTACCTGCCCGACTTGTTCCCTCTGACAGCTCTCCCAGAAATGCAGCATCCATTGAGTGTGGTAACTGCATTGCATTAGCTCCAGCTGCTTAAGAAATATTTCAGGGGTTCAAACCCATAATTTTTTCCTTCCATCCTAGAACACTTCAGCTTTTTCCAGGACTGACCCATGACACGAAAGGCTTTGCTTCAGCAGTCTGGCCCATTGATCTGCTCAGATTGTTGGCTCGTGTCCTGGGCTGAGTTTTGTCACCCAGGATAAAAGGATGACATCCAAGTTCAGAAATGTGAAAAATGTATGGACTTTGAGGTATACTTCTCTTCGGAGTGATTTCACTTACTTCCCTGAAGTCATAAATTATGTTGGCTTTTGTCCAGGCCAAGGCACTTTATGCCTCAGATCAAACCATTGATTTTCAACAGTGAATCTACTGCTCGAAGCAACTGTTTTGTGGTGCTCCAAAGAGACTGTCCCACTTCTGCTGAGAGGATATGGCCTGTGGTGGGAGTACTGACTCAGAATAAAACTCAGTGCAGGTGTTTTATTGACAAAGGTGGACTGTGTAGAGCCCCTTGCACTCACAAGATAGCATTTAGCCAGCCAGATCTCCTGAGCTTCCTTTCAGCCTGAGGCTCTGAAGACCTAGAGCCAGCCAGCAGGAAGGTCTGGTCACAGGGATGCGGGGGAAATTTAGGTTGCCTAAATACGTCTGTAGGTTTAGAGCATGGCTGTGAATCCTGGTCACTGCCTTACAAAGGCTAATGATAATACAAGTACCTATAGCTTTTCTGTCCCTTGTAGCAATTGTTTATTTTATTATGAAAACAGAGCTGGAGAGCGAGTCCCTCTCCCCATTTTAAAGTAGCTTTACCATTTTAAAGTAGCTTTTATCCCAGAAGGAACAGAAATACTGGCGTGAATCTATGCAGATTAAGTGTGTTTAAGCCAGTGGAAGATAAGAACGGAGATCAGTGAGCCAGATAAAATTAGTTGATTAGATCAGTGCCAAATCCATTAATGTCAGCAGGTAGTATTTTTTTTTTTTTATTCTGCCATTTACCTAAATTGCAGCTGACAGCTGAATGTGTTTTGGCAAGTAGTGTAGCCAGCAATTTACTTGCAGAACTTAAAATGGTAGAAACACTGGGGTCATTAATGCAGACAATTCTGCTCTGCTAAAAATACCAGGGACTAGGAGGACTAATACATGAAAGCATCAACACACCAGGTAGTGTCTGCTTTTCATTTATTTCCTAGAGGGAGTGGGGGGGTTGTGCTTTTTTCATTTAAAAAAAAAAAGGGGGGGGTGAGCAGAAAAGCTTGTAGGTTTGCATTTTTCTTTAAATCTGCTTGGCGAGTTGTATGGGTTCTAGCAGCTTTCAGATCATGGTTAATTAATAAAGGATCTTACCAGAGCTCAATGAAAAACAATGGAAATATTTTGCCTTGGCTTCTCTGGATGTAGCTTTTGAGTGTGTTGCCTGATGTGACATCAGGCCCGGTGCTGCTGCAGTTATAGCTGGTAATGAGCAAATGCTTGGTCAGTCCAGAGGGAACAGCGTTTTGTTGATCACACGTTGCTGGGACATTCCCAGTGAACAAACTCAGCAGTGGGTGGGTCTCTCCCTTGCAAAGGCATCTGTTCTGAGGAGAGGCTTTGCATTTTCTCTTTGTTTCACACCTTCAGATTCAGCTCCTTGAACAAGCAGTTGCAAAAGCTTTTGAGTAGAAGGATGTTAACATTATCGCCTCTTTTTGAAAGCATCTTTTTTTCTTGCTGGTGTCTCTCTAGGATTTTCCTCTAAGCTTCAGGGCACTGTAAAAACTAGTCCTGGAGAGGAAAGGACCATGTTTGGTGGTAGACTAGGCACTTCCAAGATGGTTATCCTATATATTCCTCAAAGTCCTTTGCCAGCACAGGTGAAAATGCCTTCATTTTCTAGCCAAAGCAAACAGAAGCAGGAAGATGCTTGACTGCAAAACCCAGAGTGAATCCCTTGCTACGCTAGTAACAGACCCTGCAGCTATACTGTTGCCTTGGGCCTTGCAGCTTCATCCTGTGTTATCCCAGGGGAGCTGAACTGCCTGGGCCTGCGTTTGGCCAACCGTGTGCTGTTGAAGCTGGGGATCGGACTTGCCTCCTCCACCCTGGAAGAGTCGTTCCGTATTTATTGTGGTCTGACAGAGAAGCCTTGCAAAGCTTAGACAAAAGCTTCCATCACCCCTAGCCATGCTGGGTTTGTCTGAATTTTTCCCTTCTAAGGCTCTCTGCTCTGATAGACCTGCACCCCTCTTTGCCCAGTGTACAGGGCAGGGCCTCCTCTTCCTGCAGAGGAGTGGGGTATCCAGTAGGACTGCTTCCCTTTTGCCCGAACCACTTCAGCCCTCGCAGGTGTGTAACAAATGCAGCCTTCCTGTGTTGCAGGGGGGAGTCCTGCCCACTCATGAGTGGAAATGCCTCCACCCTTCACCCTGAGCTTTGAAACCTGTGTGTTTCCCCCACCTTTGAGCCCCATTTCCCCACCCAGGTTTGGAGGCTGTTGCTGAGCCCTGGGTCTGTGCAGGGAGAGAGGCCCCATGTCCCAGGATCGCTGCTGCTTCTCCTTCAGCACTGCTGCAGGTGGAAGCCCATTTGGCTCCTGTGCCAGCCGTTCCATCACTTGAGGCTGGCTGACTCGGAGGGTGAAAAGCTGTTTCTCCTTTTGGCTCTGGGTCTGTGAAGGGATTGTCGGGTGAGGTGCCAGGTCTGAGCAGTGCAGGTGGGGTTTTGGGGATGGGGTTTCTTCGGTACTCCCCAGTTATCCACAGTAGTCCTGCTGTGTGTATCAGACACTGCTTTTGCTGAAGGCCAGTTCTGCCCTCTGCTGTAGGATTGTTTTCATAGCGTGAAGGCAAAGGCCAAAAAAGACCCTTTCTCTGGTCTAAGAGGCGGGTTCCTAGTCTCTCCTAGGGGAACACAGATTGCAGTTAAAAATACCTGCTGTTAGGGAGCAAGTAGAAATTGGTTTCATAGGAGAGGCTACTCGCTGCCAGCCAAATAAAACAGAAAATGGCACTGTGATGTTTGCTTATGAAGCAGAACTTCTTGGGACTGAGGTCCTGGCATAAGTTTGATTGTGGCTACATAGCAACAAAGCAGCGAAATCCACTGGTAAAAGACCTGACTCATAATTTCTGTTTTCCTGTGATCCCCAGGAATACAGATGTTTGTCTGCAACCATGAACACTATGGTTTCCTTCCCATGCCCCTGAAATCGCACCAGACGCTGCAAGAAGAAACCGAGAACTTTGTGCACACACTAATCGAGGCCATGAGTAAGTTGCTGTGCCCTGCCATGATCGACCCCCCCAAGTTAATGTTTGTAGAGCTCTCCTGCTAGCGGCCCAGCTCTCTTCCCCCTGGGAGTCTGCATCCTGATCTGACTGCTGTCATACTGTTTTGATATACAGTTTTCCATTTTCCACTGCTTTTCCACCTAGGGATGTAATCATTTCACGTCAGGTCAACCCCATTCACAAAGACCCTTAACTTCCCCATATTAAATGCAAAAACGCATCTTTAATGTGGAAAGGATGCTGCAGAACCTTGTTTTTGTCATGAGGTCTGTCTGGCACATGGCTGCTGGCTTCTGCTTTGCTACATGGATGCTTTCTGCTACACCCACTCCTGCGCGGATTTCATATCCCATCTCCCTGGGGCTTTTTAGGCCCAGTGATGAAAACACATGTGGATACGTTGTATCAATGCAGCTTGTACATGAGGGTGATGCTTGGGATCTCTCCTCTCTTTTAGTCGATCGTCCTCCAGTTGAACCTTCTCAGTATGTCTCTGTTCCTCCGAAGAACCCTGACAAGATGGGATTTGATGAAGTAAGGAACCTATTTTACTGCCATTGTCTTGTCTTGTCTTCCTGTTTATCACTTAGAGGACCTGGGTTCTCCCTGTAGCTTTGCTTCCAGCCGTTTCCCTTGGAGTATATTATCTTTTCACATAGCTAGCTCTTTCCCAATCACTCATCTTTTGGACATAAACTTTTTGCAAGGAGAAAATAGCCATCCTTATTTGGGGAGAACTTCTGCCGAGCTCAGGGAAGCAGAAGGGAAAGGGCTCAGGGAGCATTCTTTCCCTCTGGCATTTGCTGTGGAGAAACAAGGCCAGTCGGGTCTGCAGGCACTTAGTACCTGCTACAAGACCCCTGACTAGAAGTGCAGGTTTGTGTGCAAGGGCAGTGCCCAGCAAATCTTTGGCCTTCCTGTCTTGATGGTATGGATGTTTTAATCCAGCCAGGAGGAGATGGCAGAAGTGAGGCTGAAAAACAGGTTGTTTAACTCCCCGGTTTTTGTGCTGTGTCCTCTACATCTGACTCTGCAGAGCAGCATGGCAGCCCTTCCATTCTGCAACAAAACCTGGTCTTTTTGGAAACCTCTCCTGCTTTCCAGTGACAGAAGGGAACAATTTCTCTCACCTGAGAGAGACACTGGAGAGCCCGGGGTAGCTGGGGGAGCCAGGCTCATAGCTGGGTTCTAGCCCAAGCTGGGTATGTCCAGGAGTGATGAAAATCATGCGTGCTGTCTCCTTACTGTGGCAGTTCTCCCCCTGCCCTGCTTGGTCACCGCATTTTTCTGCTATGGCCTTAAGTTAAAGTGAACTAGAAAGATAGTTACTGATGCTTGTAGTGCCCCAAGACCCTGCAGAAATTCCTCTCCCGGCTCTGCCTCATGATGTGGAGAGAGCAAGCATTGAGGGGAGGGCTGGAGAGGGATCTGCTGTGCTTTAATTAACCAGTGTCTGTGTTATTCATAGAGCCAGCATCCCTGTGTATACAGCTGCCAGAATGGCAGTGGCACCGTGACCGAGGGAGTTGTGGTGATCAGGGGAGCCTTTGTTTTCTTGGTGTATTCTGCTACATCTGTTTATATGACTCGTAAAGTCTGAACCTGATTTGGCTGTGTGTGTTTGAGCGTCTGTGTTTAGGACACAGCTGGTGTAGGTTTTTTCCATGTTGTCCTTTGTGGCTGCGCTTTATTTATCCAATTCATTATTTTTGCATTTGTGCTGACCTGGAATTTGATCCGCTTCTTACTGGGATGAGGTTTTGCTCCACAGGCTACAAGGCTGCACTTGTACTTGTCTGCCTGGGACTGAAAAATATCCCTGACCCTCTGCAGTTTACCTGCAAATGAGGGCTTCAGTCCTCTGCCCTCCACCAGAGTCTGTCTCCTCAAGGCTTGGACAGAGCGCTGCCCAGACATCTCTGTTCCCGGCCTTGGCTCTCTGCTAGGCTTTCTGCTCTGGCAGGGGTAGCAGTGGATTTTCAGTGCCTGAAGTAATTACAGAAATCCTCTCTTTGCTGTGTCCTTGTACTTAGATGGTGGCCCCACTGATAATCCTAAATACAGGCAATGGCAGCATTGTGGAGAAACATGTGGGTCAATGTTCCTCTGGGACTGGAGATGGAGGTGACCATTTTACTCTGTGTTTAATATAAATCAAGACATCCTATGTCGTTGGCAATTATAGACTTGGCTGTAACTGGTCTGCTCTCACCTTTATGCATCCTTGAAGAGCAACTTTTCCCTGTAACATAAAACACCCCGAAAAAGTAGTTGTTCGACAAAGAATGAGTCTCTAACCTTTCAACTCAAAACCAACCCCAATTTTTTGACAAATTCTAAGCAACCTGGAATAAAACCACACCTGGTATTTTAATAAGGTTTGCTTTTCCAGTGGGGCTCCTGGAGAAGAGTGGATCAGGACTCCCTTTTCTTCCTCACTCCCAAGTTGGGAGGCTGATGTCTTTATCTTCTACACAGATTTTCATGATCAATCTGAAGCGTCGGAAAGACAGGCGGGATCGGATGCTGCGGACTCTCTATGAGCAGGAGATTGCAGTCAAGATAGTGGAGGCTGTGGATGGAAAGTGAGTTTCGGCTGGGGTTGCTGACGTTTGCAAAGAGTGGGTTGTGCTTAACTGCTTAACACCATCTCCTTGGATGCCCTGACCTCCCTTCTGGTGGGGAAGGGTGGGCAGAGAGAGAGGTAAATATCACTTTTATTTACCTAACAGCCTGTTTGGGACAGTTTTGCTCTGTTTCTTTCTTCTTTTGCAATTGGTCTCCATGAGAGAACCAGGACAGTGGGGTTCAGACTAAGATGAAAATCAGGTTAAAATCATACTGATTTCTGAGAACTATAACACTTGCACACAGTTAAAAGGAGTCAGCAGTGAAAGTGTTGGAGAGCAATTGTCTCCCAGGAAGATCACCCATCCTAGAGCCACAAAGCTGTTGTGCTACAGTGTTAACCCTGACACAGCCCTTTCCAAGCTTACTCTAAGGTGTGTTGAGATGTTTTTATAATGAGAAATCAAGGCAGAAATTTTAGATCTGGGAGTTGCAAAAAGGGCTCAGGGAGATAGGAACCCACATGCCATCTAGTGGTCTTTGAGACTTGGGTACCCATCAAGACCTCTTAGGCAAAAATTCTAAGCCAAGCGCCTGACGAGTTGATGGTCCCACAACTATGTGGGATATGATTTGTCAGCTTGATTTAGAAATGTAAATCAAGAAGCTAATTTTTCTCTGGGTTTTTGAGTGAAACAAGTGCAGGAGTTTCTTGAGATATGGCTTTTCTCTTAACATCAGCAGCATTTCCCATGTTGCGTCTGTGTCTGACTTCAATTTACTTTTTTTTTTTTTAAGTGGTGATAGATATTCTCTCTTTCTCAGAGCACTGAACACGAGTCAGCTCAAAGCTCTCAGCATCGATATGCTTCCGGGTTACCGGGACCCATACTCCTCCAGGCCACTAACCAGGGGAGAGATCGGCTGCTTCCTTAGTCACTATTATATCTGGAAGGAGGTAAGGAGTTTGTGGGTGCCTCAGGGTTCCTGCAGGAAGGTGCTGTGGGCAGGCACAATAGGAGGGCGCGCAGCCAGTCCTAGGGCAGAGCATCAAATACAATGCAGGTTTCTGGAAGTGTAGGGTGGAACTGTTTTCCTTAGTTTGTAGGGGACCATGCACAGGGGTTTTCTTGAACGCAGTGTTCAGCTTTCTCATCTCTGCTTTCCATTTGCCAGCAGCTCTGAGTGATTTTTATCAGAATATATTCATGACTGTTTTTGCAAACCATCCGATAGCCTGCTTGGCGCAAGTTTGCTTAGGAGAAAGGCAAGAAAGTTTTGAAGAACAAATGGTGTTACAAAAACCTGGGTTTTTTTCCCCTTGTTCTGCATCTGGACTGAAGCAAGTTCCAGTGACTCTGCTGATTGGCTTTTTTGAGTTGGTATATCATAAATATTCTTAACAGTAGGGACCTCTGTTGCCTAAGCTACGAGAACTTGTTTGAGTGGTAAAAACTGTAGCTTCCATCTGTCGCTGGTCACCTGGGGAGTGACACTTGAGAGGATCTGGGCTGTGCTGGTCAGAGATGCTGGAGTTGCACAGCCCGACATCAACAGGAGGGATTATTTCAAGTAAGGTGTGGTGGAGGCAGGGAGAAAGACTTGCGCTAAAAGAAGACTGGGCAATGGCAGTGGTTACCCAACCCAAACACAGACAGCCCTCTGCCTTCAGAGGTGTTAGTTGCAGCACCTCTCAGCAGGGCAGGGCATTGATCAAACAGCCTAGAGCCAGCAGGAGTGACTTCAGTATGGAGAAGTCAGGCTATGCTTTTGGGCTTGAGAATTCTGAATCGCCAACAGTCAGATGATAACATGGGAACCTACATGCAGGATGCCTTTGCATGTGTGTTCTCTCAAGTTGTCAGGGCCAGACTTTGGATATGCTAGATTGTCCTCCTTCCCAGACCTCAGGAACACTTTCTTCTAACAAAGAGGTTTTTCTGAACAGCAGCTTTGGCATCAAAGGCTGCTGCACGTTTGTCTGAGGAGGTGGTTGCTGTGGTCATGCTAGATCGTAGCTCATGGGTTCTAGATGGTGCAACATCAGATGGAGAGGTTTTTCTGGGTTGCAGATGCTCAGCCACAGGGTATTTTCAGGACTGTTCTCAGCAGCTCTTGCAGTCTCTCCCAGCTGAGCTGTGAATCTGGGAGTGGTTCATCAGCCTCCCTACCTGCATGGTCTAGAAGACAGTGCCAGGTCAGGATGACCCCAGCAATTTCAGGGTGCAGGGAGTGGCCCATGTGTGCCACTGTGATCACTTCTCAACCCTTTTGTTTCAGGTGGTGAACAGAGAACTGGAGAAGACGCTTGTTATTGAGGATGATGTGCGCTTTGAACACCAGTTTAAAAGGAAGCTTATGAAGCTGATGGATGACATTGAACAAGCCCAGCTAGACTGGGAGCTTATGTAAGTAACTGGCCCTCAGCCATCTGGGAACTCCTGGGCATGCAGGGGAGGTCAGCAACACCTGCTGTGTCATGATAGAGATGCAGGTTAATGCTGGAGTGCAGGGGAAGGTGGCAGAGACTTCTCAGTGGCTCTTCCCATCAGGGATCATCAGATCTGCCTTCTGGGGCAGGCTGATGCTGGAATGCCCAGACTGTATTGGGTACCCTTTGGGCAGTGTTGGTTGATCTCAACAGTGTCTGGAGATGCTGCTGTGACAGAGGAACTGACACAGCTCAGTCCTGAGGCTTGGACCGTGTCATCTTAGCTCCCTTATGAAGTTTTTCACAGCTATACCACCCACTGGGTTAAGACTTGGATGTCTGGGAGTGGTGCAGGATAGAAATCTGTGAGCCTGGTCAGGGATTACTTCTTGGATTGACCCTTTGTCCTTCCCTGGTTGACATGAACAGTCTTGTGGTCCTAATTGCTGCAGATTTGCTTTGGTTCCAATTTCCATGGTCTTTTCACCCTTTAAGCTACATTGGCCGGAAAAGGATGCAGGTGCAGGAGCCTGAGAAAGCAGTTCCCAATGTCATGAACCTGGTGGAAGCTGACTACTCGTACTGGACCCTGGGGTACGCAATCTCTTTCCAAGGGGCTCAGAAACTCATCGGAGCTGAACCTTTCAGCAAGATGTTGCCAGTAGATGAATTTCTGCCAGTCATGTACAACAAGCACCCTGTGTAAGTAGGATGCCTTCATTGCTGGGGTTGACATGAGCTGGGTCTTGCTGTGAATGATCTTAAGCCAGATCATGTTGGTGTGTCTCACTTCTGTAGCCTGGCTGGCGGAGGACAGGGCTACTCCTCATGCTTTTTGGTTGTCTGCAGCAGAGCTCCTGACAGAGGTCAAGGGGGGTGACAGACCTGCTGCAGAGCGGTTATTGTCCCTACCTGGTGCAGGGCTTGTGGGCTGGTTCTGAGACACTTGGCTGTCTCTGGTAGCGGAGGCTTTGGTTGTATAGGTTGTGTGTAGTTGTAAGGCACATGTTTCTGGCTGTAGAGAGTCAGACTTGCTTTAGACCCACCCCAGCAATTACCTCTGCTCCCTGGGACTTGTTTGCTTGGTGGATTGGCTTGTATCTTGCAGTTATAAGCAGTGGCACTGATGAACGTTCACGCTGTTACTGATGATTTTTCTACCCTCTTTAGAGCGAAGTACATGGAGTATTATGAGTCCAGAGACTTGAAAGCCTTTTCAGCAGAACCCCTGCTTGTTTACCCCACCCACTACACAGGGCAGCCAGGCTACCTCAGCGACACAGAGACCTCTACAATCTGGGACAACGAGACCGTGTCAACAGACTGGGACAGAACACACTCCTGGAAATCCCGGCAGCAGGGCAAGATCCATAGTGACGCCCAGAACAAGGATGCCCTGCCTTCCCAGTCATCTCTCAACGCGCCATCCTCCAGGGATGAACTATGACTGCCCACTTCCCCTGGGACTCTGTTGACAGCTGAACCTGCCTCACACTTCAGCTTTTCACCCTTGAAAGTTGTAGAGCAGCTCTTCATGTGGTCTCCTTCCCACTGCTTCGAATGGCAAAGCACAGTGGTTGGCCCTGACTGTTACAACTAACCAAGCCGCTTAGGACTGGGTGGGAGATGAAGGAGGAAAAAGAACAAGTGTTCCAGACTGGCAGAAAAAAGGCAGAGATCTGAACAAAAGCCCTTGTAAGCTTTTGTAAAAAAAATAACCTTGAATGACATCATTCTACAGTTCCTCGTGTAGAATACTGTATTTATAAAGATTAATATATAGAGGTGTACAAGTGTTAATACCTTTCTGGATAGCTGTAACTGGGCTGCTGTGTAACTGTTACGCCTTGTAGGTTTGTAGGCTTTTATAACCCTGTTCACTGCGAGAAACTGCAGGCAAGCGTTTGGGTTATTGGTTTTGTTTTTCAAGGGGAATCAAGATGGTTCCAAAAATGTTCAATGTACTGGAGCAGCGCTCCTCTGTAGGGTCATCTCCTTCATCACACTTCTGTAGAAAACTATTGCTGGCTTCCCCTCCATAAGTGTCAAAACTTGCTAGATCCCATCTAAACAGGCCTCCCAATCCAGAACTGATGTCTTGGCATGTCTAAAATCTTGGAAGCAAGCAGAGAAAATGGAGGTTGCTGGTTTCATTTGTCTTTGCGCTGTCTGAAGGGAACACAGGAGGAGTTAGTCCATGTCACGTCCTGCTTCACCCCCTGCCTCAATTTATTCCTTCAGGAAAACAAAGCCTGACAACCTATTTGCAGGCCTGCTTAGTTAGGCCATAAAACCAAGTGTAGGACTTCTAGGAACTTTAAATGTTAAAAGTTTGGTTATGAACAGCTTGACACTATCTTTATAAAAACAAAACAACCTACAGAAATGTTAGTGTTGTCAACTGTACTGTTCTCGACAGCCTCGATAGAATTGCGCGTTACAGGATGGAAAGGCAACTTGTCTTGATATTTTTTCATGTGAGGAGCAAATGTCTTTTTTTTTTTTTTCTTTTTTTATGAATTCTGATGTACTTGCTGTTGGCTAACATGTCAGCAGAGTATGGTGGTTGTTTTTTTTTTTTTTTTTTAAATGTTTCTCAGAGGCCAGGTGATCACGGACTACACTGTTTAGGTTAGCTGGCACAGACGTCAGCCTGCAGGCTGCTGTTGCAGTGGGAGAACGCCCTCCTGGACTTGCAATCTAGAGACTCACCTGCTGGCAGATCTGTGCGTTGAGTATGTGTAGCTGTTTTTTTAAAAGTTTTTCTTTGTTTTTAATAATTACTGATCAATGTTGTGCTTTCTGCTAAAGAAGACATGTTATTACCTGTCAGCCGGTCTGATAATACATAGAACCTGGTGCAACATGAGCAGCTGTGTGTATTCTTCATTGGGTGGGAGTAGCTGTGGCTGGGAAGGGCCAGCTCAAGAGTTTTTCAGCTGTGTCACTCTACCATGGAGTCACTGGCCATAAAATGTGCCTGTTCTGCAACTACCACCAGGAAGCACCTGCTGTCCAGGTTGGAGCAGGTGCCCATGCGACATGGTGAGTATGGAGAGCAGGTCTGCTGTGGGCCACCATGCACAGCCTTCTCCTCTCTGATGAGCCCTCTCACTTCCTCCTCAGGTCGTGCTTTATGAGTGGCAAGTCTGACCTGTCTGAAGCACTGTTGAGCATGGCAATCCCAGAGAAGTTGGTAAGAAACTTGCTGTGGCCTTCAGAAGCAGGACATCTGTGAACTGTTGAGCATCCAGCATAGTGTCAAGTGTCGCTGTAGATAACTGTGACGTGCATGTGCATCTGAGTCTGGCAGAACAGCAGGGATGAGCCAGCGCTGGGTGGGTGAGTCCCTTTGGCCTGGTATCGTTTCTCTGATGTGGTATTGTGGCTGCCTCTCCATGTAAAGGCTCGTTATGGTTACGCTGTGTTCATATACATCACCACTGCGTATCTTTTCCACCCTCATGTGCTTTTTGTTCTGTGAAAGACCTGTCTCTGTGTCTACGAGAGAGGCCTCTCTTCCCCCCAACCATGGGAGTGATTTACCTGTGTCAGCAAGAGCCCTGTTTTTTCCAACCCTTCCTCTTCTGACCTTTCGTGATCCTATTGAAGTACTCTCTCCATGAACATCTTGGCTGAAAACGACCCTGGTGCTCCTCACAGTACTCCCCACTTTGTGCTGGGGGCTGGAGAGGGAAGGGACTGACACCCTGGGGCAAAGTGTGCCATCCCAGCTCCTGGAGCTGCTCGCTGTGCTTGGGTCCTGCTGGGGTCGTGGGTGGGGACGTGGGCTGTGGCACAGCCTCACAGCTGCTCCTTTGGTCTCTTCCCCAGGGAGGTGAGGCCAATCCGCTGTATGGGCCATGCAGGAAATATATAATGGATTTAAAAAAAAAAAAGGGGATTTGAGTCCCCCTGCTTTTTTAACCTTAACGTAGCTCATTCAAATGAGGAAAAAAAGGTCTCTGCATCACCTGCACAGCCTTCGTGTTGGAGCCACTGGGCTGCCCCGGCCTTACAGCAAGTCCCGCAGACGTGGTGAGGGCAGGGGTGCGAGGCTGGATGTAGCTGGCGCTGACCACCAGGTAAAGCTGCTTTGTGGATGTGTCAGCCCCGTCGCCTCGCGTGGGACGGAGCTGACTAACGGTGCTCTCGGGAAATGATGCTGTCGGCGGAGCTGGTTTGGATGCTCAGGGAGGCTGAGTTTTATTTAACTTTGCTTTCCTTAAGTAGAGCAGTAGCAGTTTAGTAAAAACATCTTGGCAACAGCTGGATTTATTTTTTGTGGGGTTTTTTGTGTGTGTTTTTTCTTCTAGTTGACTCTGGAAGCGAGTGGTATAAGGGGTTTGATGGCTGTTTCAGGGGACGGGGGAAACAAATTAAGAATAAAAATGTAATGAATTAAATGAATGTGTCCATTTCAGAGCAGACATGGCTTCAATCTAATCTAGCCGATTGTTCTTTTACCTATACGTGCACACACACACTTTTCTATTTATTTACATATGCAAGATGTGGTGGATGGCCAGTGGTTCTACCTGCTGTGACAAGTGCTGTTTTTCCCTGTCTGTGTTTTCAGTTCCTTGGCAGGTGTTGCCCAGGCTTTGCCCTACTCAACAGTGTTTTGGAAAAGTAGGAGCCAGTTGAAACACTTCTATGTTTTTCTGATATTTTTCCACTTTCCATATACTTTTTTTTTTTTGACTCATCTAATCGGCTCCAAAACTGAGCGCAAGTAGGAGCACTGGCTTCAACCAGCCTTCTGCCTGTGGCCGAGACGGCTGTTTGCTGTGCACAGGGCAGGGACTGCGCCGTCCGGGGATATGGTGCAGCCCAGGCATGGAAGGCGCACCCCTGCTGAGCCTCCCGCAGGTTTAACACCCACAGCCCAAATGCGGGGGGGTGCCTCACACTGCGGTCATGCATTTGGTCATGCATCTTGAAAATGAGTTTCTGTTAGCAGAACTTAACAAGCGATAAGTAAGAATTTGCCGGGCTGCTTCATGAACCGCAGAGGGCTTTTTTTTTTTTTCCCCTTTCTTCTCCCTTCCTTTCTTTCTCCTTTTGGTCTGGGGTTTTTGCTCTGCTGTGGAGCATCTGAGCTAAGCCCCAGGAGCCCCCAGCTGATGCCAGCACCCAGCAGTGCCTACCCCAGGGAGCGTGGTGACAGACCAGTGGAAGCTAGGAACAGGTTTTACAAAGTGTAAAACTTTGTAAAGTTTTACAAAGTTTTTACAAAAAAAACTTTCAGCAAGCCAGCTGAAAAGGCAGCTTGTTCACAAGAAAGGTTATGGTGAGAGGCCCTAAAAATTATCTGCAATAAGACTGCTTGTAACCTAAGAACTCTGTCTTCGCTTTTGTTTAAGAAAGGAAAAGTGCTGTTGTAATCTCAATATGGCAATATAAAATTCCTAATTCACAAATAGATTGCATTTATCCTGAAGGAAATAGAGTAAGGTTTTGTAATGTTGCATTTTGTCTCCCTAGGTAGTTTAAGAAAAAAAGCAAGAGGTGGCTTAAATCCAGGGTAATCTTTCTTTTGCCTTTGCTATTGTAACATGAGAGGCCCTTTAGTGACAAAGGCAACTGCCATCCTTCAGGGACTCGCGGTGTGGCTTTGGCGGTATTGGGAGTCTCCCCCAATGCTGCAGTGACTTGTGAAATGGCAGGTCAGCTGTGGGAGCGGTCTGAGGGAAGCAGGACTGTGCTAAAAGGTAGAAGCAGCAGCTGGTGTGTGTAGACTCCAAATGTTTGCATTGTGTGCAGGGGAGGGAGAAAACCCCAACAAGCTAACAGTTGTGAGGCCAAGAGGAAACATGACATGATGGAGACAACAGGGAAGAGATGGAAACACTCAAAACAACTTTTTTTTGTATTGGCTTGCTGCAGAAATCATTCAGTGACCCAAAAGAGAAAGATTTCATGAGGAAGCTGTAAAATTTGTGTATAATCTAAGTCACCCCGTTAGTTACAACTGAAAGCTCAACAAATAGCACAAAATATTCCATAGCAATAGCAGGTTGATTGTGCATGACTGATGCACTGGGATGGCTTTTGCTTTGCTGACGTTTACCTTTAGCTCTCAACAAGCTCATTGCACTCCTACGGCGTGTGACCGGACTACGTATGGCTCACGGTTAGCTGCTGCCACTCGATGGGTAATGTAGGTGAGAGACTGGTTTACTTGGACAGCCCTTCCAGCCATATTGCTGAAGAAACACAGAAGCCGTCCTCATAAAAACTTTTAGGAATTAAAAAAAAGTGCACGACAGTAATGCTGACAGTGTTACAAACAATACAAAACTGTTACTGGATGTGATGGTGAAGAGTAAAACAATGCTGAAAGAAGGTTGTAGCTGAAGGGTTACAGCTGAAGGGAATACAGGTAAAATGTGGTGTTTCAAGTTCTCTGGATGGCAGGGAAGGTGAGTTGTGGGAGCTGGAAGAAGTTGAGAACAGTTAAAATAGTGAAAGTGATGAAGTTGGAGAATGACAGCGAAGGAAGCAAGGGAAGTGGAGAGGAGAGGTGCGAGGTGTAAAAAAACCACAACTGACATGCAGTAATAAAGTCAAGAGAAGAAAATAGATTAACTCCAGGCAAATATTAGTGGAAAAATGTTTATATACTTATCATATAAAGATTACAGGTAAGCAATTAAAAAAATCTTTTTCATATATAACCTTTTGGAGGGTGTAATTCTAAAATCAAGAACATTCAACTTTCAGCTTAATACAGACATACAACCTTGATGCTATACTTTACAAATGATACCATACAGACATCAATGCATGCTAACACTGAAATGCAAAGAAAACCGAACTTCTGTTTTAATCTTGCCCTAACTCTGGGCAAAGGTTAAGGCTCAGTTACAAACTCAACATCTTCACCCTCTCAATAAAAATACATTTGGAGTTCTTGGACTATTCAGACGAGGACCTGCATGGTGCTACTTGTAAACAGAGGTGACGATAAATCTTCATGTAGTGTAAAACGTAGTACAACCTAACATTGTTTTCCAGCATGAGTTTATCACTGATCGTTAATGTAATCTGAGCCCAGTTTTGAAAATTAGTGCTACGGAACTGGTGGGGGAAAAAAGGCCGAGGCATGTATACAATTCAGTATTTGAGTTTATTTTAACTAATACTAATGTATCTCAAAGACAGCCTGCTCAGTAAGGGCTGCTTACAATCCAATGTCTCATTTATGGCTTTTTAAAATAAAACCTCTAACTATTCTTTCAAGGAGGCCTGTGTTCTGGGAAGAGACTCAAGAAGTATGTTATTTAAAGTTCCACAGAGAACAGGTGAATAAATTCTTTATTCCAGCCAGATTCTTTATTCTAGCTGAAAGGATGTACCATGTCAGGAAATTCATTTAATAGATGTATATAAAGAACAAGGGAGGTGCCTGTAGATTATGCATAATAATGCTACAAGTATATAAAATCTCTGGTTGGTTGGGGTAATGCTTAAAACCCGGCTAACTATCTCCTCTCATTACCCACTTTTAAAATAAAAGGTCATGTAGTTGCCCCTCGTGAATGAAAATGTGAGTTAAAAGTTTTGCTCTTGAAGAGTAATTGCACATTACAAAGAGGTACATCAGTCATTTCAGAGTACATGCAAAAGGCATCGATTTCTGTTCAATGGGTTAGCAAAGTAAGAGGAAAACCACCCTGTAGTGGCACTAAGACAAGACCTAATTCCAGACAAGTAGTGTTTGTTTGCCTTGTTCATGAACAAACGATGACATTCATCCAAAAGCAAGTGCAGTCCATTCTTTTAAAGTTCTTTGGAAAAAAAATCCAAAATAGGTAATTTTCTGGCGTGAAACAAGTGCAAAAAGAAGTTTGCCAGCTGTGTGAAAGCAATACACACACTTGCAGTTTCTGCTGTCTCCAGCGATGAGTGTTTTGGGGACGTACCCACGCTGCTTTTTCGTGAATGCATATGCCTCCTGGAGGCAGCGACTGCTAGTGGCACTCAGCTCACCCACACCTTCTGCAAACCAGGGCTCCCGTCTGTCAGCTGGAGGCTGGCTGGGACCTCCTCCTTGGTTCAGGCAGAATTGTATTGAGACTTTTCTTCTCCAGTTTTATAAAAATAAATTTAGACCTTCTTCTTCTGTGTAATACTGGCACAAAGGGAAAATGTGTTCTCACAAAAAGAGTTGTCTTGTGTGGAGTTCTTAAGACAAACGTTGCAGTCCTGTTTTCCCCTCTAACTGGGGGTCTCACCTTCCTAGGCTAATGTGCAAAACAAAAAAAAATTCCAGTCCGTCCTGTCCCATAAATCCGTGTTTGTCTGTCCATATCCGGCTGTAAGGGGGAACATGTATCTCTGGCTGTAGGTCTACCAAATGCTCGCTTTGCATTTCAGCCTCAAATATTTTCAAAGTTCAATACTGACACATTCATCTTCTGTAATACTGGATGGTAGCAAAGGTACAGTTCTCACCACCCAGTTCTCACTGTGGCCTTGTCTCCCTCACAGTGTAATTTTGCTGGGCCTGTTGCTCCAGCAGCCCCGTTTGGCAGTTCTGGGGAGTGTCAGACTGCAACGGCTCCTCATTTTCACCTGCCCGTTGACTGACGCTTTTTTCCGCAGGATGAAATCGAAGTTCACGTGGCTGTTCATGGCGTAGAACACGTTGGCATTGCCTGGGATCACCAGCTCTGCAAAAGAGGGACCAGAGCAAGCGTTAGTTTGCAGTATTGCACGTAGCAGAAGGAAAGCCAGGAGAGAACGGGGACCGGGTGAACAGAGCATACACAGCCAGGCAGCGCTGGGCCCCTTTCCTTGTTCTGCTGTGCCTCTTCAGCCAAAGCTGCATCAGGTCGTGCTCACAGCAGCTGTCCCACAAAAAAGGGGGACTAGGGTTGCAGAGGGCAGGAGGTGGAGGCCAAACCCAGACCACGTCCAGCCTGGCAGAGGCCCTGGCAGCCACTCCAAGAGGAGGCTGAGCCGAAAGCTGTTTGCACGGCCCGATGACAGTGGTAGGATCTGGCCTGCCCTGATCCCTGGGGAGGTCGGACCCTGCCACCCGACCCCTGCGGCAGGCTGTGCTCAGGGAGAGAGAGCAGCTGCTCTTTGGTCGATAGCTCTACAGTCGCAGTGCACATATGAAGGTCTACCTGGCAACCCACGAGTGAGCCCAGCCTGTATAAAGCGATGTGCCGACAGACCATGATAAATCATCCCTGCACACCAGTTACCGATGGGTTATCCTCACTGGCAGCTGTGACAACATGTCCATGGCATTTCTAACGTTGCTTCACATGTTACTCTTTCCTTCAAAATCCAGCAGAATTTTAAAGCAGCAGCAGAGTTCTGCTTCCCTACCTTTGTCCTCAGAGATGACCTGTACAAGCTCATAATCCTTAGCTGCATCAGATTCCAGGTTGTGCTTCAACATAGCTCTCTGGATGACAGCAGGAGCTTTGTCTTGGCTAGTTAGCTGGAAAGATAAAGTTGCAATGAGAGATTGTGCTTACTCAATCTATATAATGATTTAATAATTGGCAAAGGCCTGTCTTTCTGCAGACTGCTTGGTCTTGGAAAAGATTTCAGAGAACTGAAAAAATACGATGGGTCAGTAACGAAGTAGTAGGTACTGCTAGATACTAAAACGTGGTATTTGTGACATTTGGTGGTGGTGGTTTTTTAATTCAAGATGACAGATACTGTACTAGAAGAGGCAGCAGTAACTCACAGTGTGTGCTCTCCCGAGCAAACGCTTTGAGAGATGAGATGTTCTCACTAGCCATTAAAGTCCACATAAATAGCTGCCCCATCTGTTGTTTGCAGACATCAATTAATCTGCAGTCTCCTGTGCTAAATACTTTCTTTGACATCCTGCAAAGATTTTTGGCCTTGTAACTGGGTTTACTGTCTGCTGTGGAAGTGCTGTGCATCCGGAGCAGACACAGGGCTCCCTCCAGAGCCTTATGCAGTCAAAAAGAAGATTTGTCTCGCCAGTAGCCGAATTTGTCAGGCCCTCGGGGAACAGCTCTTTGCAATTTGGGGGCGTCAGACCATTAAAATCATACGGTGCTAAGAACTACCCTCCTGTGTGTTTGTTCTCCCCAGGACCTGAGGGACCTGAAGTGTTTGCTCAGCAGCTGAGTCTCTGTCAGGTGTCTGTAGAGATTGCATGCAGGTGAGTCACGTCGCCCACGGTCCAGCACAGGCCCTGCACTCCCTTGGCCATTGGCCTGGCACTGCCAGAATCCCTCCGTGGAACCAGCATCGAGGGAAACATCTGAACGCTGGTTGCTGCTGGTCTGGCAACCTTTGCCGCAGAGAGAAGCTGCATAATTAAAGGGCTTGTCAGCTTCCTCGCGTACAGCTCCCTATTTCCAGAAACCAGCTTCTGGGGAAAGCTTCTCTTGGCACGTGGCATCTTGTGTCAAAACTCGCACACAAATTCTGAGCTAGAGAAAAAGCAGCTAGCACTACAGCAGAAGGGCAGGAGCAGCAAAGCCTGCTCTTGATCAGAATGCTTCACCTTGAACTTGCTGATGAAATAAAAACTTTAATTTCAAGATCAGAAACTTCCACAAAGATGCTATTTTCAAACCTCTCATTCATACCATGCTCCACATATTTTGAATTGTAACATTTGTCATTTTCCCTTTCAAGCCAGGTATGATTAGTTGGCTCAGTGAATAGGTGTTTTCAAAACTAAAAGCACCATTTGTTTAAGTCACCCTGGATGAAAACATCACCAACAATAACAGCATTTTGCTGTTCCACACCACTCACCAGGATGCTCTTGTACATATTGCCATTGTTGTCTTCTATGCTGATCCGGATGATGCACATATCTTTGTTCTGCTGGTTGTAAACAGGAGGCAGTACTTCTGAGGTAACGGGTGTCATGGAGACAGAGCACTTGTCATTGGAGGACAGCAAGGGAGGGGATGAGTTCAAAGATGACACCCCCGAGGAAGGTGTGTCCGTGGAATGGGTGGAGGAATAGGAGGATTCAGAGACCTACACAACAAAAAGAAAAACACTGTCATGAACTGGACATTTTGTATGTCTGTGTGTGTCATTCTGGAGGAAGAACTTGAGAAAGCAAAAGGCACATACAAAGCCTCAGTCATCTGCTCTCTGTCCAGAAGGCTGGCAGTGGTATTCCTTGCCTCCAGAAAAAGTGAACTTCATTTGATTAATTTCACCATTTTAATGAAAACTTATTTCCAATTCGGTGTGCCAGACACTGTGCACTGCTTGCTCTTGCCTCTCGGTAAGAGCAGGCCAGGAGGTGGCAGCAGATACAACGAACAGAATCAGGTTGTGGGCAACCAGCCGCAGAGCGTGCCACGGGCCCCACGGCTCCTGCACCAGGTCGGAGCCTTTACACGGGGAACTAGACTGGGGTGAAAATACACATACGCCTCCCGCTCTGCCACTTCCCTTTGAATATTCTTTCCTCGATGGAAACTGCCTCCTTGCTTCTCCTGCTGCTCAGGGTTTTGCCTTTCTCTTCATCTGCCTTGCTCAAAAACTGCTGAGAGGATCTTCCCTCTACAACTTGCTTATCAAAATCACTGTAACAACTGCTCCAGCTAAACAGTTTAAATGATTTATGGATGCCAGCGTCTGGGACCTCGTGCTTCATTTGGTTTAAGAACATTTAGTACAAGTTAATTTAAAATAGCCATAAGCTAAACCCCAATATAACACTCTCCAGCAAAATATCCCTAAAAAGGGCTTCAACAATACAGTTAACACAATTTACTTCAAAAGGGAAGAGTCTATAGGAAAGATGTCCCTGTGGATCCCCCCATGAGATCCCTCCTGCTAGTTTCCTGTCATTATAGTTTGTCTCTCTGGATGGTATCAGTACACGCCCAGCCCATCTGCTTTCAGCACGAACACTCACAGCTTCAGCCTTACACTCATTTTGCTGTGGGGTGTTCCAGCTGCCAGTGTGCGGGGCAAAGGGCTTTGCCTTCTCTGCAAAACAAGGGATTTCCTGGCACACTGGTTCAGTGCCTTTGTGTAAGACGCTGACTGCGTGTGCTAAGAGTGAGCTGGCATGCAGGAGGAGGTGCAGCAGCACCGCACCCCAACTTCCCCAGTGGAATTAAAGTGAGCCAAGGCAAGGTGTTCATCTTGGCAGTAGGGAGCTCACGGGAGGTCAAACCCACAGGGCTGGCGAGCTCTGACTTTACCTGCCTATCACTTGGTCAACTGCAGCTGCTCTGCCTTCCCCAGGATTTTGCAGTGCTGTCACTAATGCACACAGCTGATTGAGCATGATGGACACAGCAGCAGGCTGCTAACAGCAGAATAACTCATCAAACCTGAGATATTCAAGGAGGAAATGACTAGCTGTCGCTCTTCAGCTGATCCCATCTCCCATCTCATTTGTTTTTGTTTGTGGGGGCATATAAATCCTCTTGTCCCTGTCACTGCTAACGTCGCGCTGCCATGTGCTGGACAGAAGCACCACCATCTGCGAGTGTGAAGCTCAGGCTCCTCACCCCACTTCACGCAGGCTCCAAGGTAGAAACGCTACTAGCCTGCCCCATCCCTCTCAAAAAGCACAGAGAGAGACAAAGAAAAATGAACCTTGTGCTTCTCCAGGGCCTCACCTAAACAAAAAACACTGCCAGGCACCACAAGAAAATCTAGTTTCAGGGAAGAAGAACTTCAGTCTGCCTTGTATCTTGGCAACATAGAAGGGATTGTGCAAAAATCCTGACTGAATTGCTTCCCTTTTGACACATTTCTTTCTAGAGACTCTCCATTTCACTAAAAGCAATGCTCTAGGTCAAGACCAACAGGCTTGGGCAAGTGTCTAGGTCCTTCCTGCAGTGTCGACAGTCTCTCACAGGCTATTTATGCTGGTAACAAGGCTCAGACCGTACCTTTTTCTGAGACTCATCAGGCGTGCCTATGGGACTGATGCAGACATCTTCAGATTCAGAGTGATTAAACTCACATGACGAAACACTGGCCGAGTCCGTGCTTTCACCAGAGCTCCCACCTGGAGCAGATTTGGGTGGTTCTTTGATGGGTGTGCTATGGGCGATCACCTCGGAGCCTAGAAACAGTCTAGTACAGAAAAGAAAATGTAATAGCCAGTAAGTGAAAGCAGAACAGAGCTGGGCTGAGCAAAGCTGTCACTTGGTTCAAAAATCTTACGTATTGTTTTGTTTTCCTATCTTGAGTGGCCTATTGTTTTCATTTCCTCTATGTTGTTTATACGGTTTGTCAAGAGAGTTTGTTACACACTAACACAGTACCTTCTTGACCTAGCATACCCACCAGCTGCAAGGCCAAAATCGGAGCTAATGCCCAAGTATCACAAACGAGACTCCTCTTCACTCTGTTAAATTTTCAGACTCACTTGCCAGGAAATGATTGATTGTAAACCTGATGCATTTACAAACCAAGGGACTAGGGGCAAGTTAGAGGCATGGCAGCTGGCTCCACCTTAGGCGCTCCTGCACACTGCTGTCACACCCTGGTCCCTCTGACACAAGGCAGCTCAAGACCTACTCAGTTGCCATGAGTAAGTGAAACAGTGCATGAAAGGTAATGCATGGCCATACACCAGGCAAAAGTCTTCAAAAGGCAAATTCATCCCCACTGCAAATTCTTTCACTCAATATAGGTGCCACAGATACCAATTTCTCTCTAAGACTCTAAACAGACACGTATGCAATGTGGACATCACAAGAAAGTGTAAATTATAGACTCTCCCTCTCCAAGACGCATTTCTAAATGCAGGTCAAGTAAATTTAAAGGAGTGTCAAAGGAAACAAACCTGTATAATATACAAGGTAGAGCAGCAAGGTGAATTAGATGCTATGTCAGCATGCAGTTAACGATTTAAAACAATTTAGAGAGGTGTCACTCACTGTTCCTGGGATAAATTATGCCAGTCTTTTCTACAGTATTAATTTGCAAAATACATTCTGAGTGCAGATGAAACAATTCTTTAGACAAAGACTGCATAGTACAAACAAACTTGATACAGTAAATTATAATACTACAGCACTGAAACGCAGTCAGAAACGAGAGAACAAAGCCTGTGCTCCGCAGCAACAATTCTTACGCACAGCTTAGGCACGCGCCAAGGGAGACACAAATGAGAGGCCACCAAGAGTTCAGGCACTGTCATCTTCAAAGCTCACGTTCTCATAACGTATCGCCACCAACTTGGATGGACTAATCAAAACACTTTCCAAACAGCTGCCTGGATTTTTTTTGAGTATCAGAACTCAAAACTCTAGATTGAAAACATCTATTCTTGTTTCAGACCCTAACCTGCAGTAGCACTGATGTGAAGTGAACACCTGCTGGCTGTTCTGAGGAAACTAGGTACAAGAACCAAGCAGGAAAGGAGAGTTAAGAGCTGAGTGCTGTTAAATTCATCATTTCCCCCCTCATCTTGATCATGCCACTGATATGTAGGAGTCCCTTCATATCTCCTCTTGCATCAGGTTCAAATTTCTCACCTTTTAAGATATTTTTACTTCGGTCCTTGATCTCTGCTTTCATTCCCTGCAGCTTTCCCTGAACTCCTGTTAGTGTATTGTTTCCTGTGTGTGCTTAGCCACATGCCCCTGTTCTCCACCCACCTCCTGTTTGAATCTTTGCGGTATTAGATTAAATTGGACCACATCCCCGTGATTTTTTTCCTTCTCTAACTTGAAGGCAGTTAGGCAGATTGTTTCTATTATCAAATGCCTTTTTGCTAACCTTAATTTTCCTATTAAAATCCTGCAAGGAATTTTTGCATGTGTATAGCAAATTAGACTAATAATAGGCCAGATTTTATCCTCATTTACTCTGTTTTGCTACTGCATTCAGGGAAGTTATTACACAATAGATATTGAATTTATAATCCAGCACTAAAATTGTTCCTTTTTCTGACACCTTAGGAAAGCTTGTTTGTTTCTAATGTCTTTCATCATTAATAATCCTCATGACTACTTATAACAATAGAAAGGGACAGCTTCAGACTGAAGTATGCTTGTCTCCTTAAAGTAATGCAGTGGTCTGGATCCCCAGCCAGGTTTTTCAGCTGGTGAAATGAGTACTGCTTGTTTGATTTATTTAGGTTCATAATTAACACACCAAATGCCCCTTGCCCCATTGTACTCACAGGCTGAACCTCTTCACCATGCTTTTCCGAGATTTCGGTGATGTGGTGCTAGTGTCAGCAGCTGCTTCAACCTCGCGTGAAAGTCTGTAACTGCAGAACAGAGGCCACTGGGTTAATTTTCACAGACAATACTATTAGTTATATCTCTCAAGAGTAGCAATATTCAAGAAATTCGAGAAACCTTCAGTTATTCCCACTTCATAGAAGGTTGCAACCCCACGAAGAGGAACATAGCTCTGTCCACATTTTACCATGGTGAAGGGGATATTTTACTTCTTTATAATAGTTTTAAAAACTCGTGGTTTTTTTGGATGACCTTCATAATTTTATTTTTAAAAAAATCAATAAAATACTTAACATGTGAATCCTGGATAAGCTGACATCTTTTTTTTACGACAACGCAGTACAATGCAGTATGTATCTGTGCTTACACTCTTAGACAGTGCAGCAGAGTGGTATTCAGATACCTACTGGAGATATTAAAATGCTGTAAATAAATTGTCTTGAGTTGGTCTAGCAGCATGTGCAGTACCACAGAACTCAGCAGGGCTGCAAGAGTCACCCCAAATGCCCAGGAGACATTTGTCTGGAGAGCGCTCAGCGAGCTCTGTGTTGCCATGGCTACCTGCTGCCTGTATCCACCAGCCAAAAGCTCAGTGACTGCATCTTGACATCCCTTAGGATCGAGCCTGTGTCTGGGTGTACAGACAGCCCAGACACAACAGACTATCATATTTCAAAGTCAGAAGCCTGATTTCCAATCTCAAAACTAAACCCTGCGAAGTGTTCAACAGGTTTTCTACAGCTGTTTAGCAGAAGGCAGAGGTATTTCCACTCTCCTCGAGCAGCAGTATATGTAAATCCCTGTAAGAGGATAGCTAAAGGCTGACATAACCTACCTGCAGGTGTGTGTGGGGTAAGAAAAGCCTGCTTCGCCAGCTGGACTGAGAACCTACCTCTCCTCCTCAGTTAAATGCTGCTGTCTCCTGAACCACTGGATGAATTTTTGGTCTGGTGTCATGCAATAGCTGTTACATGCAGATTGCAAGAGCTTAATTTGGGCAATTACTTCAAATTCCTAAGAAAATAAATAATCAAATAGAAATTCTAATTAGAAAACACAATAAAGCCAAACATACTCATTCATATACTAAACATATGCAACAACAGATCCAAGACAAACTTAGTTTGACCTGAAGTTCAGTTTCAGTTGAGTAACTGACTATATCAAGAACCAGTTTTTCAAACAATGAAGACTCTTTTTTTTCTCCCCAGCATCCATAATGTGCATTGAAACATGAACATTTTATCAGACACGCACAAATTAGAAGACAAACACAAGGAACCACACTTCACCACAGAGCTTCTCCCAAGTACTAACCGAAGTGCAATGCTGGTGCAAACCCACCAAATGGCAGCACTGCTGGTTGTTCCTCTAGGAACAAGGGTAGCAAAGGGTCACAAGTTCTTCAGATTACCCTACCCGTTCACCCCTGCGCTGGCCAGACCAGCTCCGAGAGAAGAATCATGCTCTGTACTTAGGTGGTTCTCAGACAGCAAGCAAGAGTAATAATTAGGGGTGCCTGCGATGAAAGCAAAGAGTCTGATCCTCCCCAGCTTTGCACTTTGTGCACTCACACTTGCACCAGAGGAACATAAAATGCTACCCTTAACATGTGTGACTAGAATGTGCTGCTCTTCTGCAATACCACTTGCAGACACACTTTGCCAAAATAATTCTTAAAACCCTCTTGTGTTAGAGCAGGTTATAGAATCAGGATGTAGGAATGGAGCTGGGTACTCAGCATGGTTCAGAGGGCAGCTTTGCCACTGGTTTCTATGAAGCTGGAGTGATGACCATGGAGAGGCTCGTGTATCTCAGTATTAGTATCTTGAGCCGTACAGTTATACATGCAAGGCAAGTGCAAGAAGTGGTTTATAGAGCTGGGAGCAGTTAAAGGAAGGAAATGGCTCCATCGCAGCCAAATCCAAGTCTGCTTTCAGACACCAGAAGGGAGATTTGGCACAACTTCGTTCGGACAGATGTAACCCTAGTACCTTTACTCCTACATAGCGTTCCTTATCTCTGACCAGCAAGGATCAGGCTGAAAGGAAAGACTGATAGCATTTATTTCTCAGTCCCGTGTACCTAATTCGCTCTCTGCAGCCTTTTACCTACAAACAGTTTACTGCAGCAGAAGGAAGATGTTTACAGACTGTATCTTCTGGAAAGCAAAGGTCTCATGCCACCAGGTCTGATTCACTCTCAACACATAGGACATACACATGTAACGTATTCCCATGAACACCAAATGGAGGGAATGTGCATGCCCCAGATGTAAATTCCATGGAAGTAAGTGACCTGCAGCTCCTCTTCCCCTATTGCACACATCTAAAAAGTAGGTTCTCTTCCTGCGCCACCTCTCACAGTTTGGCAGAGGCTCAGAGCATTTCAGGGATCTATTCTTTCCTCAAGTACAAATAACTTGCATTAAAATTAGCGGCTGTTGTATATGCCTGAGCAAAGACAACAGGCCTCACCAAGAGAATGCTCTAGAAGAGGGCATCAGTAAACTAAAGATCACAGAATATTCAAACTTACCCTCCGCCTCTTCTCAAAGTTTATCAGGCCACCCTGTTGGAAGGAAAGAGAAGGGATCAGAGTAGAAGAGCACATGTGTAATCACAAACAGGATGAAGCAGCAAGGCTAATGTAAAGCACAGACCTGCCCTGAGCAAGGACCTTCTAAAAATACCTGTTTCCAGATCTGGTAAAAACCACATCACTCAAATATCTGAGCCTCCAAAGGATATCTGTCCTCATGGCCTAAATGGCAATCTGCCCAAGAAGAAAAGCCCAATACAAGAATGCTCATAAAAGCTGTGTCGAGATCAGGTCTGAAGAATGCTAGCGGGATTTTGCATGCAAGAAACAAACTCGGCTTTTGCCTGTGCTGTGAGTTTAGCAGTGTTCCCAGTGAGTTTCAGAAACACCAACTGAACACAAAGCACGGACAGAAGGGAAACTGCCCAAAAGAAAATGGATATGTAACAACCTTACACAGGCTTGCTTTAGTGCAGTTTTACAAAACAAACAACAACCAAACAAACCAGCAACCATTACCAGCCCAGGGGGAAGTGTATTTGCCCATTCTTATCATAAATACCAGCACAATGAAGGCTGAGCACCTGCAGCCTGGCTCCTCAAGTGTTTCCATTAATGGGGCCAATTTTCAAAGGTGTTTGAAAACCTTTGAAACAAACACCTTTGAAAATTGGCCCCACCCTCAGTCTCTGTTAAACGACGAGGCTCTTGCAATCCTTTTTCCATTCCTATGCTAGATTGGTTCTCCCTGCTTGTTCAGCTAAAGAGAAATGAAAAAACAAGTCTTTAATCACTTTAGGGCTCAGACGTGTCTGAGTCAATACTGAAGCACTTCAGTGTTCAGTCTGAAGAGCTGAATTTGTGATTCTGTGTATTTTACCAATTATTCACAGAAATCTTTACACCTAAAATGTTTCAGAAAAATAAAACAGAATAATGGAAAGCCTACTTTTTTCTCGTTTTCTAACCTAAGAAAACTAGACAAAATACAATGCTAACCTTGTCCCTTGAGATAACTGCACTCAAATTCACACAAGATTCTTGTTGCTAATAAAACTGCATATTGCCTCCTTTTTTTTGAAAACAGATTCCTCCATTTTTAAGAACTGCACAAGAAGCCAGTGGAAAATACAGGAACAGACACACTCAGTGCCGGGAAGGCAGGGAGAATATTTAGGATTCAAAAAATTGCCCCAAATTACCTCAATATAGTCCTGGAGGGCTGTGTCAAGCATGATGAGATCAGTGAGGAAGGTACCAAGATAAGGTACCGTGCCTTGCATTACTCCCTGCAAATGGTCAGAGCAATGTTGGATTAATTGACTGAGAAATGGTAATAGAATGCTAGAATACTCCTGTGTAAGAAAATGAAATAAAAGTAGTCTGCTTAACCAAACAGTGGTCTTATAAATTGTGTTTTCTTTCATTACATCATCCTCAGTATCTAATCTAGAATTTAAATCAAATTCTAATGAGAGCAGGATGCTCTCACAGATATTTCCAAGTGGTTTTATATTACAATATTGCCACCATTCACTGATTTCTAACAGTGGGTCACCAGGAAACCCTGCTATGGAAGAAGTATTGAGGACCAGGGACAGGGTCCCTTGGTTACCTGCTACAAGAGAAAAAGCTGGGGAATGGTCCTGGCTAGCCTGTGTATGCAGTTTCTCTCTCTGCTTCATTCCAGTGAATTTTTACTTAATGATGTTATACCATGTGACAGTCAAGTCAAATCAAGTCACAGTTTTTTCCTCCAAGAAGTGACCATCTTCCCCAGCCATTCACTGCATTTTAACAGTAATTATTAAAATTTTAAACTTTCTAGACTGCTAGCAGTTGTAGACTTCAGGCTGTTTCTGCACTTGTGACTAAAATTCTTGTTTCTACCATCCAAAAGGATTCGTATTTTTTCCAGTTAAACAAATAGACAAACAAAAAATCATATTCAGCACTTTTGACTCCCTATCCCAGATTTGTCTCCCCCTGTCCTTTTAAATCTTTGCCAACTTTGAAACAAAAGCCATTTTCACCAGCAGACTGGAAACCGGACACACTTTACAAAGCAATCTCTGTAGAAGTCTGTGCAATTTTCAAGCTGGTATGTCAGAAGCTTCATGAGCTTATTTAAAGGTAAATGAGATTTCTGCTCTGGCCAGAGCTAATTTTCTTTATCACAAGAATTCCAGTACTTACATTACATATTTTACTATATGAAAACTGTGTGGCTTTCCCCATATTTCTCTCTGAAGGGTAACAAGAGTAGTTAATGGAATTCTTTCTTGCAGGACAGAAACAAGACGGTTGGAAATGATGAACACATGTTTATATTCATCAATCATTTATTACCCTTTTATATGACAGGTTTAGTAAATTTCTTGAAGACTTGAAACTAAGGCCAAACCCTTGGCTCAGTGTCCAGTGCCCATCCCGAACAGCTGGTTGGGATGTGAAGCAAATGCAAGTGGGGACGGGAGCAGCAAGCCTATACACCCGGTTATCCCCTTGCAGGGGACAGGGGAATATTGGCACCAGGGAACATAAGGTGGCTCCTGCGTACATCCACCGAAACCTGAAACCTTTGAGTGTTCTCAGCATCAGACCACTGAATGCACTGGCTGTGCTGATGCTTTGCATATCCATTTCCTCCAGCATTTCAGTACATAGATGGGTGTTACTGGAGTAAAATGACAGCTGAATTGCACTAAAACCCATAGCTGTTACAGCTTGGCAGCTCAGCGTAGGCCATACAGCTTGAGCTGGGTACAGCACGAATTCCACTTTGTAACTGTTTATATATACAGATGTATGCATGTGTGGGATTGTCTATATATATATGCACACTATATATAGACACAATAGTATTACCCTGCTTACTATGATCCACAGCATAAGGGAAATATAGCTTTGGGCATATATTTACAGGGACAAACATTCTGAATGCATATTCAGTCTAAACTTTTTGGTTCACTTGCTTTGTATCTGCTAATCAATAGCATTGATGTGATTGTTTTGCTTGACAGAGGGCACATTCAAGAGCATTACCTACTGCACACTCGCTTTGTTAAATACCTTTCTAGATTTTGCTTCTTATATAATTCACCAATTAGGATTAATCATGTTACCAGTTCAAAAAGGGTAGGAAAAGGACCCCAGACACACCATATCTTTTTGAAGTTGCAGTCGCCTCTGTGTCCTTTTCTGATTTTCTTTCACACTGCTGTCCAGATTCGCAAATTTGGATGTTCCTTCCTGTAAGGGAATTAAAAGGCAATTAATGGAGGAGCTAAGTGGTAAGCTGGCAACTACATTTGTGTAAAATAATTGCAAATACATTTAACCAGGCAAGCTAGACCAGCAAAAATATTTGCTGTGCAGGTACATGCATGTATATGTACATGTGCTAATTTTCCAGGACTTGTACACTGATTGGGAATTTTGGACAAAATCCCACAAGATGACCATAAGGGAATTTTTCTGCAAAACAGCTCTACTCCGGCCAATGCTAAGTGCTGCTGAAAATCTCCTGAGAGTTTAAATCAGAGAAGCTTAGATATACTTCAGGTGTCCAGATGCTTCTCTGAACTCTACCCTGACACTCTTGACCTCAGAATTTCTGTTTAATTTCCTAATCAGGACTGCTGCAAGTAAACATTTCTATCTTATGTAACACCTTGTTGTTTTTCTTACGCCGCAACACAGAGATCCAGCAACTACCCTCTATGGCTTATTGACTAATCCAAAACCACGCAAGAAATGGAAGTAATAGGTTTTCATCTCCACAATTCAAGCTTTCCTATGAATGGATGAGCTATTTCACAATAGAGCTGTAGCATTTATTTCCCTGGATCCATACAGGATGCTGGGAGTTACTGTTATTTTTTCCAGTGGCCGGATAGATGGGTCATGAATTATTATCAATGTCTTTTTAAGAGGCACAAAACAGCCTGCATTTGTAAAGATTCTCTCATTACAATGTTTACTTCTCTCAGTCACAGTTAATGGACAGATCACTCAAACTCTGTATTTCCTTCCCTGGCTGAAAAACAGGAGCAAATGAAAAAGGAGTGTTGTCTCAATGTCTTCAAGGTACTGAAAGGTAAACTCGATATTCTTTAACACCAGCTGGCAGGCCAGCACAGAAGCTAAAACTGCAGCTCGCAGCAGAGCTGTTGTTTGGGGAGGAAAGAACACAGTGCTCCCTCTCCATGCCGGCCGACCTGTTTCATATGGCATTTTGTCCACTCTAGGCTTAAATTTGCAGGATGGACAGGCAAGGTCAAACACAGCTTCCCTAGAGAGACTATTTATAGTGAAAGAAAACAAAGACTTTAAGGATTCAGTGGACATTAATCCTCCAATCATTACAAACTGGTCCAAGACAAGAAGTAGGAAAGAGGTTCTAGCTATTCTGTGGAATTTTTCTCCTCTTGCTGCTTTCAAAATGTTTTGCAAATCTACTTACAGCAGCTGGAGAGAGTGATTTGTTGGGAGCCAGAAGGCCTGGGCTCGGATTGAGTTGTTGTTTTGTCTTTTTAATATTTAGTTAAATAAGGTATTCTGAACACGCATTTTCCCTCTACGCTAATTATTGTCTCACCTGCTTCATAATTTAGCTACAGATGTTGATAAATGGATGATAAACAAAACAGACTGATAGGTTTGAATGTGCTCACCCATCATTCCTGAGCAAAACACAGTGTTTCAGATACCAAGGCAAAGGGGTAAGGTACAAATGCCAGACTGACTGGATAGAACTGCCAAAAACTAAACTGGTTAGCCAGTTTATAGAAACTTTTTAATGTAAATAGAAAAAACCACCACAAACATTCCTTAGTTTCTACAGAATATAACCTTTCCCTCTATTCTTCCTCACTCCTTTCAAGCTCCTGAGCTTGTTGGGGTTCACCCAGGAGAGCGCACAAGTCAAACTGTTTCAGACAGAGCCTGCTTTGTTGTCCATCTGGCCACACACAGAGCAGGAAGCCCACTCCTTCAGAATTCCCAGCCCTGTTTTCTAGTTCCAAGAAAGGTATGGGATAGTTGGATAAACATCTTGGTTTAATTCCTCAGCTGAAGCTGAGTGGCATTGTTCCAGTGAAGTCAAAAGCACTACAGTGGTGCAACCCAGTTGAGAATCTCATTTGGAGCTGCTCTGCACTCACCAGTGCAAACCTGAGCCTTTCCAGGTCTGCTCAGAGGGTGCACAAGCTAGCGGTTCATCTCTCTGTACAGAGCAATATAAAGCCAAAGTGCTAATTTGTAACTCATCTCAGTAAAATTATACTGTGCAGCACCTCTTCACTCTGGTTGTGGCTCCAGCGCTATCACAGGTACAAGATGGTGCACACAGCTATTCTTGAGCTAGACATCACCATGACCAAGGGAGCGTTACCAGTTGCCTAACTACAGCAGCGTGACATTCAACTGGAGGGGCTCCAAGGGGTCCTGACCTGCTGCCTTGTGAACAAGTCCACACAGAATCTGTGCTGCTGCAGCCTGCCCTTTGTGGGCATCCAAACTCAACAGGCTAATGCTAGTGTAGGTTCTTTGAACAATGAAATCACCTCTCAGCCCAGCAGAAAAGCACAGGTTTTACACACCTTTCTTCCCTGAAGCACGGCATACAGTGGTTCAGGGAGAGATGAGCTTTGGCAGCTGGTTAGAAAAAGGGCTAACCTCAGCTTTGATTGAGATCACAAGACTTGCAACTCAAGCTAATTCTCACCTTCATTAGCAGCTCCCTACTTGTCAAATAATTGTCATGGTCTGAGAAGATATCAGACAGCTCTTCGAACATCAGCATTACATCCCTGTACAGGAAAAGAGTAAATCATTTAGGTTTTACATAAGCACTCTAAATCAGATCAGATTACTATTTTTTCTCATGAATTGTTAACAGCTGGGCATATAAAAGATAACACCACCAAAACGCATCCAACGAGATGCTGCACATCTACTAGGAACCTTCCTGGGATCTTCTGGTGCTCCTGGTAAAGTCAGGTCCTATTTGACAGCATCATAAAGAAATGCTATAGGTACGCAGACCCTGAGCAGGGTTTTCAATTACACTGCAGGGTATGAGATTGTTGTAAGAAAGTGGGTAAATGGATACAAAGGAACAGAAAAATAGCTGAGAGGTATCCTAAGTACTTCATTTTTGGCCTGTTCCATGCACTCTGGAAAGCTAGAAGCATTTAAGTGTATGAGTCCCTTTCTATTGCCCAACACTATAAACACAAGATGGCAATATTTTGATCAGGAACACGGGGCAGTGGCAGGAGAGACCCACCTCTCTCTAGGGGAAATGCAGAAGTATACTGCGTGGCAGAGTGATATTTTTCTTTGTTTATCAAAGGCAAAGGAAAAAAATCTATTCTTCCCAAACTGAACGAGCAGAACACCATCTTTCCTACACAGAGATTTCTGGTGTCTGTTTGGTATGCAGTAAGTATGCCAGTTGCACAAAAAGGTATTCCCCTGTAAGAAATATTGTCTTCAATACAGATTTGGATTTTGTAGTTTGGGGATATATTTTAAGGGAATGTCAGACCAGGAGAGGATTAGTGAGGGCTTGTAGCAATGTTAACCTCCTCCAACTTCGCGGGAGAGAAGACAACAGGCAAGTATCACGGTGCCCTTTTGCTGACCTTCCGAGAGCGGTGTGCAGGAGCTGGGTGGGTAGCTAGTCCCACAGTTTTTCAGAATAGGTTGTAGAAGATCCAATATGCTATGAAGGACAGAATAGACCCAGTGTCCCTGAGGGCAGGTTGTCCCCTCAATATGAAAGAGGAGCTCACAGCAGTCAGACCCAAAAAAGGGGTCTGAGCCTCACAGGAATGAGAGGAGGTTCTAAGAGAACAGATGTCCATGAAGGAGCAGAATAGGAAGACTGAGAACAACAAGATGAAAAGAAAGAGCACTGAGCTTTTTGCCTTTGTTTGGGGCTAGCCACAGGAGCAGAGGGGGAGGCTTACTTTGGAACACATATCCAGGTCTTCTTTAGCCGATAGATGGAGTTGGACTGCAGTGCTGAAATGATGGCCCTCAAGGAGGAAAAATTCTTCAGGATCCTACATTCCTGTGAAAGGAGCGGTTAGAAATACAGGAGCATTAAATGTCAGCATTACGAATACGTTAGTGCTCTTCTGTTTGACCGGTGTCATGCTTGCTACACATTCTCACTGCTAAGCAGGCAGCTGTACAAATATTGAGCATCAAAAATATCACTCCCCTCTCCAGCCACCAAACACATTATGGGCTTTGGCACTTATATCTTGTTTTCCTCACTTTCATGTATTTGTGGTGATGTTGCAGTGTTTCAGCTTCCAGTTCTCTCGTAAAAATAAAAGTGGAACTGAGTCCGTGAAGCCAGTCTAAAAGCACAAAAGTTACACTTCTTAAAAGCTCTTTATAGTTAACAATCCCTTTTACCCTTTAGGGGAAAAACCAGGCTTTGCCTCTTTGTATGTGGTATTTAAAATGTAAACCCTCAATCATCTAAGTGTCAATTAAAAATAAAGACATGCAAAGGAATAACCTGTTATTCAAGTATGTGCACACTGTTAAAGAGAAAAACCTTCCCAGCTTTTCCAGAGTTGGGATCAAATCCTAACAGAGAGACTGGTTCATAGACATTTCTTATGCAGCTTCTCTGTGCTGCATAAGAGAAGCAAAAGCTTTGCCACCAAGATAGGATACCGATAGGATACTGCAGGATACCGAAAAACTTAATTCTCAAAAAAATAGCACAGATTCCTGGTAAAGCAGATGGAAGCAAGGAAGAGGGGGAAAGTCTGGCCTGTGACTCTTCAAGGAACTCCTGTAAATCTGTTGGTGGCTCATGAACCAGAGCACAGGCACCACAGAACTTAAACTCTTGCAAATACAAGCTCTCACAAACAGTTGTCTGTACATGCAAATTAAGCAGACAAAACACATGCCAATTTGACTGTTGCATGTCGATGAGAATGTATTCAAACTACAAATCCGCTTCTGCAAATTTTTATGGAGCTGATTATTACACTAATAATGCTGATTACGTAAGGGATCCTTACAGAGAAAATAGACATAATTTATTCCTTTGTAGGACTGAACAAATGTAAAGCAACCTTAGAATAAACTAAAGTCAGACCTTAATATATCAGCAACTCTGTTCATGAGTTGCATTAAAATTGACCGAACAACTAAGGCAAGTACATTTACTCCCATTTATTTACCTTAAAAAAAAAAACAAACCCCAAACTTTGTGCAACTTAGGAGGCTACATTTAACAAAGTGTGGCTTAAGAAGACTGACTCGGCAGACAGCACTTGAAGCAGGTTGGCAGTTAGGCTAGATAAAGACCAAGTTCAACATCATGTGGTAGGACATGCAAGACCTGAAAGCTATTCTTGCATGGTTTAGGGCCAAAGAAGCTACGTAACAGCTCTTCTTCAGAGATTGACATTTTTAAGAACAAGACCCTTCTTTCTTTATGTTCAACTTGAAACTCAGGCTGGGGAGAACATGGATTTAGAGGCACAAATTCTCAGCATTTCTTTTTTTCAAATACAACAGGAGTTTGGACTGGAAAATCCAATTTGGAACCATCTTCACTTAATTGCACGTTGCATAATTTAAAGCGCATTAGGAATTCAATATTGGATTTTGTGTTCTCAATGATTTAACTGACTGCAGACTAAATTTTAGCAAGCTTTCATTTGTATATAAGAATTTTTAAGAGTGGTTTGAATAACTTTGTTTCAAGCTGTGTCCTTCACAAGGGGAAAACCAGAAAGAATCCTGTGCAGAAGCAACTTTGATTTAAAAAAATTAAGCGTAACAGGATATTAATGATTTCATTTTTACTTTTTATTTTTAAAGAAAATATTGTGTGAGTGAAATTGGCTGCTCCTGCTCAGAAACCTTAGATCTAGGTGGAGCAGAGAGGGCTGGCAGTTAGAAAAAGTATTCAGTTTATCTTGTAAACCAAGAAAGTGGATCCAAAAGTCATGAACAGGTAACAAACGTGGAATTCCATACTGCTAAGTTACAGAGTTAGTTGTCAGTGAATAACTGCACTTTAATGAGTGGATTATTTTCTAATTCAGGCATCTAACTATTCAAAATACTCATCTGCATGCACAAAGCAAGCAACTTTCTTCAGAAGTGGGCAGCTAAGTATATACGCAAGTAGCTGTTCTACATGTGCAATTATGTTGTAGAGCGTGCACATGCATTTTTCATGTGCTTAGCTAAGACTGGAGTATTTAATTATGTGTATGAATTAAGTAAAGGGAGAAGTACTGAATCCACAGATGTGGAGAACAAAGTTCTCTATCCACAGAACAAGTATGATGAGAGTGGTGCCTGTCCTGGCTTCCCTGGGCCTCCTTGCTACCCAGTGATGAGCAGGGAGCTGCTTCGTACTTGCTCATCTGGGCTGCAGCCCAGTCTGCCCCATAAAGGCCCCTTTAGCTGGTACCCTCTGCAACTTAAAGATCTGCACACAGAAAATAGGAATCAAACTTCCTAATCCATTCACACAGGCTATAAAGCAGCCATCAGATGATAACAAAAATGAGTCGACGTAAGTGCCAAAAGAGAGGTGAAAGACTACTTCCCCATACCAGTTTCCTGAACCATGCAGTTGCCAGAGCTTAGGTGCCAGGACTAACAATACTGCCTCTGGAAGCATAGAAGTGCATTGTCAAGGTTGGAAAGCCTCTGTTTGGCTTGAGCTTTTTATGACTGCTTATTTTGTATAGGTCGGAAAGAATCCATGTGATTCTTAAAACAAAAGTCAACACACATCCATATGAAAGTGCTTTAAATGTTCTCTTCAAAAGAAAGATCTAGTTTGCTGCCAGCTGCCCAGTGCTCTGAGGGGAGTTAAAAAGGTTACAGTAAAATATTAAAGATAAAAATCTAAGAAATTAGCAAACTAGAGTTACGTAAAGAAGCCTTGCAAAACCCTTTCACGCAAAGATTAAGAAACACACAATCTGCTACAAGACAAAGGAATTGAAGCAAAGAGTAAAAATGTGTTAGAGAAACATGTGACACAATGATAAAGCAGAAAGGTAAGAAGATGAAGAGACTGGTACCATTATTGTAACTCTACTTATTTTTTCTGGTCACTGCTTGCACCTCTCACTCCCTCTAAACCCAGCTGGTTTGTATACCTGATGTAAACCATGAATAACTCAGTAGGCAAATGACTTTTCAGCCTCAAGAATTTTTCAAAACAAAAGAGTACAAACAATAATTTCATTTTTTCCATGTTAAAGAGGCTACTGCTTCCTAGAAGTAAGTCAGCTTTGTCTGCACTTACTTAAAACCTTGTATTTACTTTACTTTCATATATACACACACATAAATGTATGAAAACACAAACAGTTGTGTTGTCTTCCACCATATCTGATTTCAACTCTCATGGTGTTCATAGACACAGAAGAGGGAGCATCACGTTCACTGACTGATCATGAACGGCCAAAGGCAGGTAAGCGCAAAGCTTATTCTGACTGTGCTCACTGCCTGCATCACTGCCAGTCCTACTCCATTCTTGTTAAACTTTCCTCTGAAAACAAGTCTAACTTTTGGATGATATCAACCATCACTTCACTTCTTTCACTCATATGAGCAGTATTTTCTTCCTAGGGAAGTGAACTGGTTGAATTTATACCTATCTTGCCATAAATGTTACATTATCAAGTATATGGCACTCGCCATCTGCAAGACACAGTGTCTGCCTCACCCATTAATTAGCACTCCCAAACCTGTGAAGAGACAAGCATCAACCCCATTTCCATGGTGGGGAAGGAACTAAGGAGAGGAAGGGCAATACTTCATGTGCTATTACAAAGACAGTCAGTCAAAAATAGAAAGAATTAGAGCTAAGATGTTCACTGGCCTGGGACCAATGCATACAACCCCTTTTCTCCCCTCCCAACTCCCTCACTCCAAGGCACCCGCACAAAGAACATTAAACAGTCTAGAATAAATGCTTTACATGTGCAATATGAATCCACTTCTCAATGATCTTGGCTCTGTGCTGTGTTTTGAGTTCTTTGTTCTTCAGGATAGTGCTGACAACACATTTCGTAACTGCATTGAACTGAGAGATGGTGGCTCTGATGGTAGGTGCCAGGTGCTTGTTTTCTTTCTTATCCCTTCGAGACCAGATACATCCCAAACAGTGGTAGGGCACAACTTTCTTGAAGAGTTGCTAGAGTGAAATAGAGGTAAGTCAGCAGGATTCTCCTAGATCTCTATTGTCCACAAGAAGAGATTCATGCGTACAGTACAAATTGGATCTAAATCTAATATGGTATTAAAAGGTAATTTTTTTTTCTCTTAGTTTAAAATACACACTTTGGCATACTCTTTAAAGGCTTGATGCCCTAAGAGAATTGTCAGCTAAATAGTCCCGGGAAAATAAGAGACACCTGTATATCTGTTGCATAACCAAGGAGAAGTTTTTTTATATAACAATGTTTTGAAGGAGGTTGATACAGAGAAACCAAATCAGAGCACTACAGTTAAGAGTACCTATACATCTTTAGGACAGGTAGCAATATAGTCAAAATGTGCTATTTCTCAGGTGTCAAATATTAGACTTTGCAAAAAAGGCTACACAGTATACATTCACACTTTAAAAAAAAAAAAAACCAAAAAACAAACAACAAACCAAAAACCTTCAGAATGACTGAAGGAAAAAGCCCAATGAACAAAGCAAGTTTGGATAACCAAGCAGAGCTGTGTTCTGTGTCCCAAAAACAGACCTGTTCTGGAACACTATACTTATGTTGGCATAATTTAAAAAAAAATTTATAAGCCCAGCACTATTTCTCCTAGCCTTTCAAGTAGTACATATACTCTACATACTGCATCCATGTATGTCAACTGTTCTGCCACAAGGTCTTCTTGGAAAAAAGAGAATTCTTCTGGACTGCTGATCTCCAGTTCCTCTTCATCATATAGGTTACAGGGGGAAGTGTTATGGAATCCATCTGTCCAGGATGGAAAACACAACTCAGTAAATTTATACAGCAAACAGTGAATCAAAGCAGATGTTTGTTTATTTTAAAACATCACTGTATATATTATAGCAGAATACTCAAAAGGTCTTGCCTGATGTAATGGCCCCGCTGTGCTGCATATTTTATTGAGAAAGATGATGAACAGAAGATTAAATTGGCAAAGAAAAGGTGGAAGAAAAAGAAACAGAGTTAGAGAGAATTGAGCCATTCAGGGTCTCTTAGCTGAGAAGTGGCTTAACCCATTCACTAACCATTCTTCTGAAAGAAAAAACATCACCACCACCCCAACAAAATTTCCTTATTAACATTGCAGAATTCTGTTAATCTACTTTTCAGCATTTATACATTTTATAATCTGAAAAAAAAAATCAAACCGCAAAGGGACAAGACTGCAGTTATATCCCCAAAATATTGCATTAGGAATGCTCTTATATCCAGATTTCATCTCCCATGTGTGGAACTAAAAGGAGATATATTTTCTTGACATCATTTGTGCCCTCACAGGGGTACATGGACTACACTGAAGAGAGTTTATTCCAGCATTCCTCACCTTCCCTCTCTGGGAATTTTTCCCAGAAAAGGGAATACAGTGAGCACCTACAGCATTCAGCTGAATGCTTCTTCTAAATTTGCACTGGGCAGCAGTGAAGAGGTGAGAGAGGAGAGCTGTCCTCATCAAGGGACCTGATCCAGTGCAGAAGGGAAAGGATTTCACAGATGTTCCCATGTCACCTTTTGGCTCCCACACATTGGGAACAAAGCCACATTAAAACACAAAGAAATATGCCCTTGTTTCCCATGGTAAAGGAAGTCAAACAGAAAATCCCTGAGAATAAATCCTCTTCCTAATCCCTTTTACTGTAAGGCGACAGTAACTCCAAAAGAAGGGAGAAAAAAAAAAATGGACTTGTTGAAGACTAACAACGAAAGTACTGAGTTTACTACTAGTGAGATTTCATTTACAAAAACAAGCAGTGCATTTCAGAGTATGTTATGCAATACTTCATATCCAATTAAAGCAGAACAGGCATTAAAGCAACAAAAGCAGATAAAGTGATACTTCATCATTGTTTTTCAAAATACTTCAATTTTTTTTCCTTCTTCATTAATTAGCAAAACCTAATCATCAATGTAAATTGCTACAGTTTTGATATAACAAATTATAACTACAGGCTGTATCCAGATTTCCATCTGTACATTCCAATTGCACAATTTATTGACAGAGCTAAATGCGATAAATGGAGAACTCTGTTCCAGCATTATTTTTCTGTGGCTGTTTTGTAACAATACGCATAATTACATGGACTTCTACTGAACTGTTACAAGAGTCACACTTTTATCTCTCTCTTTTTGGCTATGTAACTCCTCATTTTCCTTTCAGCTCTTGAAAGTCAACTGAAAATCCTCATCACTGAGTTGCAGCCCTACTCAAAACCTCACAGCGCCCTTAAAATCAGGTCCTGGAGTGCAACCCTAGATTTTCCTTTTCTTTTTTCATGCCTCTCTTTCTCCTTTCTCTCTCACCTTCATAAATGTGTAACCAGTCTTCTCCCTACTCCCCAAGAAGCTGAAATCCTCTTGTACTCAAGTATCTCATCATTTTCAAATCACTCTGATCCATTTAGCGCTCTCAAAGCCCAACTGCCCTCTTGACTTCAGTGAGAGCAACCACACGCCCCTTCTGAATTTGCAGTCTCTGACTCACCTTGCTTTGCATTGCTCCAAGCTGCAAGAATTGAGGCCAGGAACAGCTTTTATTATCTATGTATCTGGTACTACAATCTAATCTACTGGCATGGCTGATAGCAGCACTGAATAGAGGTCTGATTACACAAATCAAACTGTAGGATTAGGACCAAAAGTTGTAAATTCATAGCACAATGTGAATGCTTTAGAACAATAATTATCAGCAAGTCCCGATTGCCAGCAACACATTAAGAGTTTTGAAAGAAATCTCTGAAATGAACAAAGATGGAGCTCTGATAAAGTAAGTGACAACTCTCAAACTCTTCTCTGCAGACCCCGCAGGTTAATTGCGTTCTCCTCCTCTTATTTTATTCTAATTAACAGCCTCTATTCTGCCACAATTTGGAAAATGTTATCATTCAAATTGACCCATCTATAAGTCAGAAAAGAACCTTTTCAACTGTTACTTGAGGAAACAAATGCAGAAGCGGGGCTGCTGGGAACTTCTGTTCACTTTGAACAACAGATGAACCCAAATATAGCTCTTGTGAGCTTGCTTTGTTTGACCTGTGGGAACCAAACCCAGGAAAGGACATCAATAGGCACATATTAGCAATCCTGTTCACTTACCTGTGTTCAATAAGGAAAACTCTTGGGCTCTGTGCAGTACTCCTTTTTATGTACATGTTAATGACCGAGTTAATTTGGCATTTCACAGTATTATGCATTGACATGGTATTTCTGGAACATCCGGCAGACATGACTTTATGGGATGAAATGTTTTTTTTCCTGTCATTTCCTTTATCCTTTATTACATGAATTATTCCCTCTCCCCCCTCTACCAAAGCTGGAAATTGATTCTAGTTCTCATTCACACACTACGTGAGCTCCTATGACTTTTCAGCTTATGCCACAGGAAGCTTTCTGACCAGGATAAGGGTATGTGTCGGGCTTGACGCTGCACACAGCATATTTGTGTTACTACAGTTCACTATTGTTTCAGTAGATTGTGACCCCCAATAACGTAAGTTTTTCCTCTGTCCTTGGATACCAGCAGCCGGCCACTCAAATAGGAAAAAACAGCCACTGACACTTCCTTTGACATGATGGTAACTAGGAAGAAAAGCTTCATGACAACAAGGCTTTGTGACTCAAGCTGTATTTTGTCACAGCTCTGTATTTTGCTTTTTGTTGGTTTGGACTTTTCTTGGGGGAGGGGGGGGTTGAAATGAGAAGACCAGCTAAAGAGCAGCTGTGTGTTTTAACTCAATGACATGGGAAGTGCGCTGGCAATTAACCACTTAGCTGCTGCAGCAATCTCAAAGCTTTGGCTAAATATTAGAGAAGTGCTGGATTTCCCAATCCACTGCAGAATGAACAGGCATAGGCACCTACACTGTATGACTATTTCATCCTGCACAGAACCTGCAGCCTCATATATTTTTTTAAAAAAAAGAAACAAGAAGAAAGTCACTGGTGAGCCTCACAATATTGTCAATTAGCCTGAGAGTTGATGAAACGTACTCCACATAAATCTTTGTGGTACCATACAGTCTGGGAGAACAGAAAGACAGAAAGGAAAGGTAACTTACCATCATTTTCCACTTCTTGGTTCTGGAACTGCTCCAAGAGGTTCTGCGCCCTCCTCTCTGGGTCAGAGCCGGGTATATTCATCTTCAGGTAATCCAGCAACTTCAGCAAACATGGGTAGTTGGGCGGCTCTCTGAAATCCTCAGAGCACTGATCGAGCCAGGCTCGTAAGATTGATGCTATTGCACTAAGAGCAAATACACAGAGAACATACTGGTTGTATACAACATGTATTGATGCAAATGTATGTATCTGTATCTAATATAACAATAAAAACACTGAGACATTCATACCCCACGTGAAGGCAGTATGAAGACTTTTTGAACAAGGAATTCAATTTGTTCTTTTTATACATGGAATCTTATTAAGATGTCACTCTGATTTTGCCAGGGACTTCAGTGAAGTTGCTCCTGATTTGCACTCCTACAAGTGGATCCAGTTATAGCCCCAAAATACAAACTAATAAAGAATCAAATCCATTTAAACTATATTGAGACCCTTCTATTAAATTCAGGATATCAAATAATGATAGATAAAGCAATTAAGATAATAAAAATCCATTTAAACTATATTGAGACCCTTCTATTAAATTCAGGATATCAAATAATGATAGATAAAGCAATTAAGATAATAAAATAGAATAATTTCAGTTGGAAGGGACCTACAACGATCAGCTAGTCCAACTGCTGACCACTTCAGGGCTGACCAAAAGTTAAAGCGTGTTGTTAAGGGCATTGTACAAATGCCTCTTAAACACTGACAGGCTTGGGGCATCGACCACCTCTCTAGGAAGCCTGTTCCAGCATTTGACCACCCTCTCGGTAAAGAAATGCTTCCTAATGTCCAGTCTAAACCTCCCCTCGCGCAGCTTTGAACCGTTCCCACGCGTCCTAGCACTGGATCCCAGGGAGAAGAGATCAGCACCTCCCTCTCCTCTTCCCCTCCTCAGGAAGCTGTAGAGAGCAATGAGGTCGCCCCTCAGCCTCCTTCTCTCCAAACTAGACAAGCCCAAAGTCCTCAGCCGCTCCTCATAGGACATGCCTTCCAGCCCCATCACCAGCTTTGTTGCCCTCCTCTGGATGCATTCAAGGACCTTCACACCCTTCTTACATGGTGGGACCCAGAACTCCACACGGTACTCAAGGTGAGGCCGCACCAATACTGAATACAGCGGGATAATCACCTCTTCTGACTGGCTGGTCATGCTGTGTTTGATGCACCCCAGGATGCGGTTTGCCCTCTTGGCTGCCAGGGCACACTGCTGACTCCTATTGAGCCTGCTGCCAACCAGCACCCCCAGATCCCCTTCTGCAGGGCTGCTCTCCAGCCACTCCTCTCCCAGTTTATACTTGTGCCCCGGTGTTACTCCGTCCTAGGTACAGAATCCAGCATTTTGACTTGTTAAATTTCATCCCATTAATCATAGCCCAATGCTCCAATCTGTCTAGATCCCTCTGCAAGACCTCTTGTCCCTCAAGAGAGTCAACAGCACCTCCCAGTTTGGTATCATCAGCAAACTTGCTAACGGTGCATTCAACTCCTGCATCCAGATCATTGATAAACATATTGAACAGAACTGGCCCTAGAATTGA